GAAGACGCCTGGACCAAGGATCTATCGCTAAATATAGGAAAAGGGATCGCGATGAAAAAAAAGGGTGGGACAATTTTTAAGAAATCAAGCAAAGACGTTATAAGTGAGAGATATCTGTTCGAAGTAAACCAGTACAATTTTGGGGGCTTGGCGGTAAGGGCATTAGGTAAACAGATAAGCACCACCGTCACAGAAATTCGGCATTATGACCAAAATGTACATGAAATTCACTTGGGATGTCGCATGCGACCAGAGATAGGCGTCCACAGTTTGCTCAGATAACATGGGTTTAATCAAGAAGAGGATCCATCAAGGGAATGCCAGATATCTGCAAGCATGGGAATCAGAGCCTAGGCGCTCTGCTCAGTGAAGCGACAGTGTACATGCTTCTAGGGCCTTGAGAAATAGCGCCTGGAGTGAAAGGCACACTGGGACTGGAATCGAGTGAAATCGGTCAACCAGAAAGATAAGGGACGAATCTACGGGACCATGAGGGGGATCCGGATTGGAGGCGTGAGTCGGATTAGCCGATCTGAAGAGTGAGGATGAATAGCAGGTGTGTTTAGGCCACACTTAATTTGCCAAAAAGAGCTTACATCTTGACGAGTAGAATGTAAACAAGTCAGAAGTTGTGATAGGTCGGGAGTTGGCTAAGGGAGTAAAGAGTTGATAGATGGGCCAAGACAGAAAGATGAGTGATAAATGTAACCGTTTTCGGCAGAAAGTTGGTCAAGATATTGACTTCACTTGTTCCTTTGATGAGTTTGTTGCTTGGTACGGAGAATGGCAAGACTCACTAATGATGACGGCGAAACGTCTGAGGATGTACCAAGTCCACGGTGTGATGCTGGTAATTATGATAACTGACATGGCAAAGGACTTCGGACAAGGTTCATTTCGCTGAGTAGCCCTGACAACAAGACCAAGTTGCGAGAACGAGGTCAACCCACATCGGTACTAAATTAGTTTGCATCTTCTACTACCCTCCGGGCGGGCTAATGGAAAGGACCACCTGAGGCAGTCAGCAAACTATAATTTGCTGTATTTTGGGCAGGAATATTTTCCTCAGCTTTTCTCACACGAACTATTGGTTGAAAGCAGAAACCACTGTTCAGGTATCCACAGCTTTTTGCCGATGAAGCATAAAAGGGGCCCCTTGCCTCAGTGAAAAACATGCGGAAATGGAAAATTAATATTTTATTGTGAATATTAAGACCAAGGTGTTGTGGTCTCTGTTTTGGTTGCAGTCTCCTTTCAATGTATACAAGTTGTCTGACCTCGCTTTCGCAACTTGGTCGTGTTGTCAGATGGACCTAGGTGGCTTTACCTTGTCCTAAATCCTCTGCTATAGTTGTTTTCATAATTCCCAGAATTAGATATTTCATTTCGGAATTAAGAGAAGTATATAAACTCAGGCAACTTCTAACGCCAAACTCAAAATTCAATTCTTAAAGTGCCTGGTCGGGCAGTAGGTAAAAAATTAAGGATGTAATTAACTTCGAAATGTTTGGCAAGATCGGATTACCAGAGGTGTCTCATGCCATGTTCTTTTTTAAAGCATTACCTTATATCGCAATAGTTACAGTACCCAATCTGTTGGCATAAGTTCTGTACATTTTTGCATCTATTACTTGCTAGCAGAGGCTTGTGGCCGACCATGCAAGATAGCACCTTAAGTAGAACATATACTGTGACGGGAAGCGTGTGAAATCAGACAACCACTATGATAAGGAACGAATCTCCGGAGCCATTTGGAAGAATTGGATAAGGGGTCCAAATCGAATCAGCTATTCCGGCAAATAGGGGAGAGGGGGGGCAAAATAATAACGTTTCGCTGAACTCGCCGAGAAATGCAGACCCTTAGATGAGTCGAATATGAGCAACTCATGTGTGACAGTCAGGAAGTGAGATATGAGGATAGGGGTTAGGTAGACGTACCAGAACAGAAGGAGGAGGGGTAACAATCGTTCGGCGGAATGTTGGTCATGAGATTGACTTCATTTGTCTCTTGTTTAAGTTGTAGCTTGATGCTAACGATGCAAAAGAAAGGTCTGGGAATGTACCAAGCCATAAATATTACACTTAGAATTAGACCTACCAACAAGATGCGTTCAACCATGCCGCCCTGACAGCACGAGCAAGTTGCAAAAACAGGGTCAAACCGCTTCTATACGGCGAAAGGAGACAGTGATCAAAACAGAGGCCTCAACAACTTGCTGTGCGAACTCGGACCAATTCTTATATCGAACTCATAGTTGAGCCTCGAAAATGTTTGGTCGGGCAGTAGATGGGGATTTAGGGCTGGAGTCACCATAGGTGATAGATCCTTTCAGCAAATGAGGCTGTTGCACCAATCCTCGAATAAAGATACCCATTATTAGTCGACTATCATGTCCTCTTTTAAAACATGACCCTACTTCGCGGCAGTTACAATACCTATCATTTCGGTATAAAGTCTGTATTTGCGATTCTATCATCATGCTCTATGAATCTTGTTCAACCACCAATTAGGCTGCCCTCCGTTACGAAGATGGAGAGGACTTCTCTGGCCTCGAGCTGTCTGCCAGCAGTCTGGAGGGCATGCGGTCCACTCCGAGACCCCGTCGTCTGGCCTACCTGGACACGCCCGAGGGTGCCGCTCTTCGTTCCAGCATGATCTCGCTGCCGACCTCAGCAGCAGCCGCCATGGCAATGGCCGCAAATGATACGGTTTCTGGGCCTGGCCTGTCCGCGGGCACGTTGCCACGCCGTTCAAAGCGGTTCCAGGGCAGCCAAACGGATCTTACTAGTCCACATCCTAGTCGTCGAGGCCTGCCGCACATCAGCAGTGGGGCTGATATTGCGTAAGTGTGCTGTGGGCAGACCAGAACAAATCTGGGGCTGCTTTTGTGTGTGTTTGTTAGTTTGTTTGTATGTGGGCGGGAATGTTTGCGTGTGTATGTGAGTGAAAGGGTGAGGGTTGTTGTTGCATAAGCCTCGGTCGTTTAAAGTGATGTAGGTACTGATAAAAACTTCACAAACTTTGTCTACCAAAAGGTCTTTTTTATTCTGTCTTGACGGCAGTTTAGAACTCACGTAAAGCGGACCCAGTTTGTTATTGGAAAATTGTTTTTTCATGACATATTGGGCCTATTTTAATTCGTATTTTTACTGTGGGACTGGCTTTTCTTGTTCGTCTAATCTGCCTTGGTTTCGGGCAACGGTCAATGTGCAATGTAGGATGGGTTAGAAGGTCCTTTTGGTGACAAGCTTAAGAGTAACTTGATAGTACCTTGAGTCTTTTTACTAATTTAATGATAAACGATACAACTTTCAGTTCTGGCATCACCTTAAACTACTTAAGGTATCTCGATTCCTCATTTAATGTCTACCAACAGTCTTAAAGCTAATTTATTTGCTAAAATGTAATTGCTGGCTGATTGGACTTTACAGCCACTGATTTGCTTCACTGGGTTAAGGTTGCAACTTGGCTCGCTTCTTCCACAAAGTGACAGTAGAAAAAAGTAAATAAACCAAACGAAATTCCTTAATATGTTTCCTTAAGCTCAATACTGTTGAACCTTCAAACACGCATAATTAATGGGTTTAAATGAATCCCCTGATCATAATTGTTGAGCTAACTTCCATTTCGAGTGAAAGTGTTTAGTAAAGAGATTCGAAGGTCGATCCCACCAGCTGTCGATTGGCTTTACTGGAACATTCTTGTTGACACTGATTCTGAGGCAATCTTTTTCGGTACCATTGAAAACGAGTTAAGCTTTCGTCAGTCGTATGAGCAGACGTGTGTCCAGCTGTGCAATCTGATTGATGGTTATAATATAAAGAAAATGGGTAGTTTTGGTCATCAGACCCTGACGGCTTTCACTGCGGCCTTTGTACATATACAAATACATCAAAGCACAAAGCCACACGCACATGTTTCGAGGCTGACATTTAATTCGACCTAACCATATCACTTTATATCATATGAGTAAGCATAGAATAGGGTATATATACAGCATTTGGGGATAACTCAGTAAGTTTTCATCACTCATTATCCTTAATATGGTTGTAAGAATGATACCCTGCCCTGATGCTATTCACCTCCACACACACTTTCACTCACTAGAGAGCGTGCATAATTACGTCTTCAATAGCAAAACGATTCTATCTAGAAGATGTAACCTCTCTAACAAGTACTATACCAGGCAGATTCTATTATATATACCGAATAATCCCCAAACTCTATAGTCTATAAAAATATAAAGCATTACTTTCTATTATAGTTGTTTGACCCTGCTTTCGCAGCTTGGTTATATTGGCAGGAAGACCTAGAGGAACGCATCTTGTCCGGAGTCCATAGTATGCATGATCATTTCCAGAGTCGGATTGCAGGCTTGATACATACCCAGATGTCTCGCCAGGATCGTCAATGAGCCTTGCCATTCTTAGTACCACATTAAAACTCGTCAAGGAGACAATTAAAGTTGATCCTGTCAGCCAAACAATTGTGGTATTTCTGTTTCTGTCATGGGCTATTCACCTATCCCATGTCCTCCCATCATCCATTCACTATCATAATTTCTTAATTGCTTGTTTAAATGTTGTATTGTGTGCCCTTAGGAGTAGAAATCACGATACCTCTTCAAACTCCATGCTGGTTTTCTCACCCCACCCCTTAACCATTGTGCTGGGAATGCTGATCTAAGTTTACCCTATTATTCTGCAATCCTGTTCCCATCGCTCTTATCAGAGTTTCCATCTTGCCCCGTAGGATGCATCCGCTATCTCCCTGGTTCAGGTATTCCACTTGAACCCTGCCACTCTATCTGTGCTACTTGAGGCGTTATTTCCAACACTGCCTCAATTCTTTGATGATACGTATACTTCTGCCTCGATGAGTAGGCTGACAAAGTCTGGATTGTCAAGTTGGATGGGAGATTAACTTGGGGCTATAAATTTATTTCAGTCACGATATCAATGACCTCTCTGATCTTGCGTTTTCTCGTATTTTCACCATATGCAGCCAGCCTTTTTGTCGATTTCCAATCGATTTCCTGTCCCTTCCGTGTAATGTGTTTCACTATTTCGGACCTTTCCGTATCCATGTTTCTGTATAGTCTTTGGTATTTCTTGATTCGTAGGCCGACTTTTATTCCTGTTTCATAGATATACTTCTGATCACATTTAACACATTTGATGCGCTACACTTCCGAGCAAACCAGTTTGTCAATCTTCTCATGTTGCGTCAATAGTGAAAGGTGTTATCACCTTGATATTCCATTTTCATTGTAAAGGTCAGCATTGTTGGCTCCGTTCACAGGATGACAGGCATATCCACTTTTGGTCGTCCAAAAGAACACACTATCTTGATCTTCATACCTTCGATATAACTTTGCATTGTTGTCAATACTAACCAAATTTGATTCTTTCTCACAATAAATCTCAATACGGCGACAAAACAAATTAAGTAATCCATTTCCTATTTCCCAGCTTAACATACAGATCCATAAACACTGGTAGGTGACAAGAGCAAAACTTAGTCACCTAGGGTATTCAATAAGAATTTAAATGAATCGATGTCTTTAAATAAATTCCCTTATGAATGGTAGGCACAATATGGGAACTGACCAGCGATGCTCCATAAAACAGAATATTCTAAGACCCTGTCATAAACTATTGGTATTTAAGATTTTGAAAATGGAAATAAGAGGCAAAAATCAACAAAAATAGCCTCAAAATATCCCATCATCATTCTTTGAGTATAAGAGCGCTAAAGCAATTATAGAAGTCATCACAAAATAATGCATTACAAAATAATCGTTACTTTCATTGAATCACATAAATAGATTTGTCCACCTTTTTGACAGATTACAAACTTATGCTGAAGGCACCACAAACAAAGAGTTTGATGCGATCTTGGCACGCCAGTCTCTTGATTCCTCCTCTCCTCACGAATGAGTGTCAACTGAATGGTGCATTGTTTGGCATCCGATAGTTGCTGGTGGGACTATGGTAAGGCTCCAGAGTTTCCCAGTCTATTAAGACCAGGATTAGGCATTGTGGAATAAAGAAGGAAAAACAATATTTTCGTCTGCCTGATCAATTGGTAATGTCCTCGCAGTTCGAGAGCTGAATTACCTTTCGGATTGAGCAGATCATGACTATCTACTTCCTGTATAAAAGAATATTTCCCAATCCATACGCTAATATCCAATACTTTGCCAAGACCAACATTTTATGTGTGAGTATAGTTCGGGGCTATCAGTAATGGTTTTAGAACACCATAACCTACTTTAGGTCGCTTAAGAAAGTCTAATAGTTGATAGTGAAATTTCCATTTGCAGTCAAAGATATTATTTTATTTGTGAGTATGCTTCAAAGCCATCAGTAATTTTTGAGTACGAACTTTTGTAGCTCAAGATTGCTTTGGTGATCCATTGTCTAATAGCATATTTTCACGTGATCAAAGAGCCTCACGATGCTCAGGATCCGGATTCGATTTCCGTCGGGGGTGATGAGACCTGGGCGTGGTCGAAATTTCATTCCACCATAAAAAAGAAAACCCTTTGGGAAACAGGGCCGTATGAAGCTCACTGGCATCATATGCTTGTGGGAAATTTCGCAATCAGTTCTTCATTTACCCCAAGTGACCAAGAGTGACTAAAGTTCTGCCTTTTCCTCTCCTCTCCAGTTCCAAGCTGAAGTCGAGCGACCTGAAAAATGGACATATGGAGATGAACGACAAAAGCGAATCCATCTTGCGCCAGAAACAGCAAGACAAAGGTAGGCATTTTCCCTTCTCGTTTGTATCCTTCACTTAAGTCTCTGACTCCGCGCCTTGAGGACTCTAGTGAGACCGTGTCGAGCTCTCGTCCGCCACGCGACAGGCGCCTCCATTCTTTACGCCTCGCCGCGTTCAAGAGGCGCCTTTTCGTGTCGTCTGCCGAACGGGAACTTAGCCCGGCCCCGTCGAGACCCGACAAGGAGGTCCGAAAGACGATTGCTAAATGCCCCCCTCCCCCTCCTTTTTGATACCCTCCCATAAGAGTTCGAGTCCCCTTGGACTGGTCGGTTTCAGTCACCGCCGTCCTCTTCCGCTTCGTTAGCCCGGCCTCGGTGTTTCGGTCTGGGTCCTTGATCGCTTGAAAGCGCCTTTTGTTTTCGTAGTCGGGCATGAGCTCAATCTGTAGAACCAACCGGATTAAGTGGTTTGACCTCATTTTCTCAACTCGTCTGTGTTCCACCAACGCGACTTCTGAGAATCTGCCTTGTCCAACGTCAGACCTTGGACTTATTATACTTCCAGACGTTTCACCGGCATCGTCAGTCTGTCAGATGCCGACGAAACGTTTAGGAATCTATTAAGTTCGCTGTACGAAACTAGAAATTTGCCTGATTACTATGGCAAATGAAGCCGTCCAAAGTACATTCCTCGAGGTCATCTTGGCGACACAACCAAGTGATGAAAACGCGGCCAATGCACAGACCACACCATCTTAGTCGTCATACCTCCAATCAGCCTCATGGTCACTTGTGGTCTTTCAGCCTTTAAGTCTTATCCGACCACTTGGCATGTGGCACATTCTTTTTTGGCAAGTTGGGACCTTCCAATTTTTGTATGCCTCATGTACTGTCTCGCTTCTCACTGCTTTCTCTGTTTCTCTTTTGCCGAATCCATTAACACACCATTTCTCCCCCTCGACCGACTGCCTCCGAATCCCGGCTGGCGTTCATGGGCTCTCTGGAAATTGTCTTCACTGCCAAGAATTGTATTTAGTGCTTTATATCGCATTTCCTGCTCCACACCCATGCTACCGCCAACCCCACTCAGATCCTCTTTCCTCGGAATCTGCGCCAGCCTTCCCCTTGCCAGCCGTTTTGCTTGCCACCTTTACGCCTCTAACCCAATACTAATCATTCAAATGGCTTGCGCCTCTTCTTTGTCCCTCCTATGCTTTACCATGTCTATCCGAAGTGGTGTAAAAGTCACAATTGAACTATCATGCACCACTTGATACACCCAGACTTGCTTACATTCTGGTCTACGTTGCTATTTAATCGCCTCCAAATGCGTCCCTCCATTGGTGGCCCTTGCCTCAAAGTTGAACACACCACATTTTTCCGAAAATATTAACATTTGCCTGAATTCCATCAACCTTTAGGCAAATTTGTCAGTCTCGTTCGGCAAATAGACCAAGGCGGTTCCGACACAGAAAATAAGGAGGGTGAAGAAGAGGACAACGATGAGACTATGCAAGTGGAAAGAGAAATCGTTCTTCGAGTTCGACAAAGGGACGGGCAGCAAACGCAGGTGGAACCTTTGAGTTCATCCAATTGTCAAAAGCAACGAATTCGCATCGTCTACGAGGGTTCACAGGAGAGTGACTCCACCAAGCAGCACCCCAACGGAGAGCTCCCAGGTGAGCAGAGTCTGCTTACCGACATGGATCTGTATCCTATAGACTTTTCCGTGTTGAACTATTCCGGATGAGCCCACAGTCTCCTGCTTGCGGCTACTATTGCAGACTTACATGCTCTGGTGTAATATTCATTTCATATGAATTCGGGCTTGATATCTGAAGCACCCTACCCGTCGGGAGAGCCAAGAAGTCGAGAAAATTCGCTTCGACGGTTCTA